GTGGTACAGGTGTCTCTATTTGACACTGAGTGGTACAGGTGTCTCTATTTGACACTGAGTGGTACAGGTGTCTCTATTTGACACTGAGTGGTACAGGTGTCTCTATTTGACACTGAGTGGTACAGGTGTCTCTATTTGACACTGAGTGGTACAGGTGTCTCTATTTGACACTGAGTGGTACAGGTGTCTCTATTTGACACTGAGTGGTACAGGTGTCTCTATTTGACACTGAGTGGTACAGGTGTCTCTATTTGACACTGAGTGGTACAGGTGTCTCTATTTGACACTGAGTGGTACAGGTGTCTCTATTTGACACTGAGTGGTACAGGTGTCTCTATTTGACACTGAGTGGTACAGGTGTCTCTATTTGACACTGAGTGGTACAGGTGTCTCTATTTGACACTGAGTGGTACAGGTGTCTCTATTTGACACTGAGTGGTACAGGTGTCTCTATTTGACACTGAGTGGTACAGGTGTCTCTATTTGACACTGAGTGGTACAGGTGTCTCTATTTGACACTGAGTGGTACAGGTGTCTCTATTTGACACTGAGTGGTACAGGTGTCTCTATTTGACACTGAGTGGTACAGGTGTCTCTATTTGACACTGAGTGGTACAGGTGTCTCTATTTGACACTGAGTGGTACAGGTGTCTCTATTTGACACTGAGTGGTACAGGTGTCTCTATTTGCATGTTTAGGAATCGCCAATTGGCTTGGTCACATGAATTAGAGGTCACGCAACCAAACATGCAGATTTACATTTTGATCTTCTTTTGTGAACATATAATAGGGTAATATAGACCTGTGTAGATTTGTTTTGGAATTATTGTAGACTTATTTGAAGACGACTGTAGACTAGGAATCTGTCCAAACCCGACTCTTGAATCGCATAACCAAAATGATAGTCTTTTTTTACCTTGAAAATATAATACAAAAAAAAATCTAATATAGTAAAATGTTTCTAATTTGCAAAGATCAGTCAAATGCTGGTTATTATTCAAGACAAAACGTGATCACTGAATGTACTATGTACTAACAGTCCAGTAAGCAAACCAAAGTTACACAACTCCATATGGTTTAACCTAGTAAATGAAATAAAGCATTTGAAGTGTCCTCAAATATGCTGATGACATACAACACAATTCACATCAACATTGCTTGTTTCAATTTTTGATATTCAATTATGTTTATTACCTATTGCAAAATGTACATCACGCTGTATCCAAACATACAAATTAATGATAGAGGGCGACAAATATAGGAGGAGACACTCCAATTTGTAGATGAAAATTTCTGTAGATGTAGATAAACTTGTACATGAATGTAGACAAATGTTACATGACTGAAAATAATGTAGATGACACATACCGGTAGACAGAATACATCTACAAACACATGATATATGTACGTGGATTTATAGAAAACACATGTTTGGTGGGAGAGGCCACTGTAAAGGCTAGGCTAGGCTAGGCTAGGGCCGGCGTAAAAGTGTTTGTGGTTTATCCAGTGCTTTTTATGAATGCTCAAGTTGCGTTAAACACAGACTAATATTCAAAATACCATTTGATAAGCTCCAATGTAGTAGAGTGTATTACTATATTACCGCAAATTTCAGCGACATTCTGTTTGCGAATAAGATTAGGTTAAATTTGAAATATTCTGTCATATACGATATGTTCACCATTCAAATGTAATACTAAATCATGCTTAATTTTAACTCTCTTGTTTTGCTAGCTTCCTGTACGTCATGGAAGACGTTTTATCTAACCAATCTACCGACATCGGTAACAGTAACAGAAAGGGACAACGACTACCGATGGTCTGTGAACATCCGGGTCAACGCAACACAGAACCTGCTAATGACGATTTTTGATGCATCACGAGAAGAAAGCGTTCATCGTTTCGAAATCGTTCTAGACAGTTCTTCAGTAGTGATAGAGCGGTATGGACTGGAAGAGTTTGACCCACTTTTAGACAGAGTGATTGTAAACACGTTAAATTTGTTTCCAACTAACGAAATGAAAGAGTTTACATTGCATTATTATTATGACACGTTAAGGATTCTAGAAGGTATAGAAAGTCCTGAAACGCTCATCATCTACAACAACTTTCGACAAATGCCTGGCTTTACAAGATATAGTGTCAGTTTCGCCGTCACAGAGAATGATAGTGATGCCGAAGTTGAATACTGTATATCCGAAGACGTTGTTGGTAAGAACTCATATATCAGCACTGGCGGACCCAGAAATTTGGTAACGGGGTGGGGGTGGGGCTCCTCCTGTCGTATCGCATCAGGTTTGATATGACATTAAAACACTAATCATTTGGTTCTCACTACTGTCAATGTATACATAAAACCCTAGTTTTACATTGTTTAAATAAGACTCAGTCAAGCTAATAATATCCATGTAATATTGTTATGGTCCGAAAAAGGCTTAAACTTTAAAATTCAACTGGGAAAGAAAATATCTAATTTACCTAATTTACATAAATTAATTATTTAATAGGTATTCCATATATATATTTTGATTACCACTCATCAAATTCCAATGAAAGTTGGTACCGGTACATAGGTTTGTTTGGATAATTTACAGATTTGTTTAATTCAGGGTTGAAATCCATGCATATCATATACCTACTTTGTAATTATTATGCATAACTAATATCTCAAGCAGATACAGATAAGGATATGCAACTTGTGCTATAATGAATGCATTGCACAAGAGATATGACTAACATATCACATGTCCATATATGGTCATATGACTTCGTTAATATACATAACTGTAATATCTCAGGCATTGCTGCAGATAGTGTCATGCAACCAGTGAAATATTCTGGGCACAGGGTAAGGAATATGACTTACACATCATATGGTCATATATGGTCATGTGCCTTGATTATTAAGCATACTTTCAATTTAAGATCTGCTGCACAGTGACATGTAACCAATGATATAATGAAGGTAATTGAATAAAATATATCACTAATGTATCAGACGTATTGCTACACTGCATGCAACTAGTACTGTGATTGTGATGGTGAGATATATCATCAAAATTTCTTTGATATTATCATGAAACAAGTATTCTTAGTGTATATGATTGGGTCAGTACGGACAGAAAACTACATTTTTCACAAGCAACGTACATAAATACCGGTACCTGCTCTTTCACATATTGATCACAAATTTTGTTTCATGTATATCACATGCATAACATTTTTCTCTCTCTGAATTTTTAGAGCCAGCGCCTTGTAGTGTGAACGATGGCTGCATAAGTAAAGGTATGTACTAGGATGGGAACATCACTGTTCGGTTTTCTTTTTGAATAATTATGTCATTTGATATATTAAAGAGTGGTTCGCCGCGTCGTGCTGTGTTCATGTGAGTCTCATGCATGGACGTGTATGTAGCGTTCCTAAGGGTGGGGTGGGATTATAATCGGGACGCGTTGTGTTCGATGTGAGTCTCACGCATGGGTGCATTTGTAACACGTTCCTAAGGGCGGAGTTAGCCGCGACGCGTTTTGTTTGATTTGAGTTGCACGCACACATTCTAATTTCAAAATTGTCATTAAATTTTTACTATCATTTCGAAATTAAACTTGTTTTGACTTCTAACAAAAATCGAGTAAATAAAGCTTTGACGTGTGAAATGACCAAAAACATAAATATCTTTGTTCGATTTTAATAACCATATTTTACATTGATCACATTACAGGCACACGGACAAATGTAACGTCGTTTTTGGTGGTGATTTGTGGGCTATATATCGTGGTACAACATAACTTCTCTGTATAGTTATCGATGTATTGAAGTTACAGTAATATGTAAATGTATACATGATTGTATCAGTGTTACATTGTTATGGACTTTGATACTGCAATACAGAGTTACAAAGTTTGAGACTGTGTTATGGAGTTTTAGACTAATACTTTGCTACGGAATTTGCTAACATTAGCTTGTTTTTATAATGTTCCAAACGTGGTATTAGCTATTTAATTCATCATTTTCTCTGTTGACAAATGAGGACAGATAATTATTTCCGCTTACTTTGAATAGTGTAGTTGTAACTGCCAATTACCAAAATCATGTTAGTGTGTATTTGTATTGCTCCCGTATAGCACAGTGAGGGCATTGAAGTTACCTTCTCTGTGTACATGTGTGTTGCGTCCAATTCTTCCCAGTTTTATCTTAAAATACTTTGTTGTTGAAACTTGGCGTGAAGAAGCGCCACATTCATCTGAACATTTGATCAAGGTTTGGCAGAAGTATATACCCATTTAGTATTTTTTTCCAGGGTTGTTCACCTCAATTTTCTGACTGCTTTTTTAGAAAGAATTCCCACAATGCAGCAGGCTGTGTCAGCTTACTGTAAAGCATGTCTTTTTAGCGAATTTAGCGACAGAACTAATTCGCTAATTTAAGATGTCGCTAATGACTCATTATAAATTCAAAATGGCGGCCAAACAACATCTTTTTCCCCACACACACACTTTGTAAACAGCACAGAAAACGTAATAATTTGGAGCGCTTCCTTATTACAGTTTGACAGTTTTTATGGAGGTGATAACTGCGCATTTGTTTTGGCAGGCGACAACACATAGTGTTGTGAAAACAGGAAATCAACAAAGACAAGAGAGGTTCGCTAAATTAACATTTTGCTATTACGTCATTTACCACAATTCGCTAAAATAGTAAGCCGCTTTTTCAACAAATGTATGAATGTGGTAATAGGGACCTAGGAGGATAACAATGTGAAAAATGAATTCATTGAAATACCAGTCCTGTTCTTCTATGTCAAGCTAGTGGTTGTATATTTATCAGTGAAGCCGGTCGTCTTGTAATTTTGTTATGCTTTTGAATATTTTTGAATCATTTTAGTGATATTTGTAAATACAACGTTTGTGTCTTTTATTGCAATTTTTATTATTGTATTTATTTATTTAGCTAGACTGTGATTTACCGGCAATAAGTTATTAACTGTATTAATCAGCCAAGGACTGCCTGGCGTGATTCTACCTCCTTTTATATTTTCTGAGTGAAGTTTACAGTTTTAATGGGCGGTGGTCGTTACACCACGCATGCGCGAGATATGGAACTAATATGAACAAAGATGACTACTTTTACTGAGTACAAACTGAGACGTTACTACGCTTCAACTGTATAATTTCTTTGGTGACGGTATAGAAGGGGTCATCTGTGGTAATTAGCTTACGTGCCTTGGTCGAAACACATACTCGTGAAAATGTCGCACATGCGCGGCGCAACGACCACCGCCCTTTAACTACATTTTGTAAATGTTTAAATTATTATGCGTTTCTTTACAAGACTGTACAAATATGTGAGCGTCCACTTGTGGTGATCATGGCATGTGTACAGTTTGAGACTCCCAGATTGCCCTTTGTTTCATGTAAAAAAGCCTCTGTAGGTCACGTTTGAGATGTTATGAATGGATATATGTTGTATTTTTTTACGATATGTGAAACTGAAAAAGCTTGCATTTTTTGATACTGTTTATTCGAAATAAACAAAAACTTTCAGGGCCCGACTCTCTCTTTAAATAGTTTTGTACAAAACAGTATAATCACGAGTCATGCACATCATACATGTATTTTGTTCGCTCCATGCGTACAACTTGCATTTTGACGATTATTATTTGGTCTAAAAACTGTTATATCTAAGGCATGCAAACTAAAATATCGCCAGGTCGGTCGGCTTTTTTTATGGGAAATGCCAGACTGTTGACAGTCTAGGAAAATGCTTGTAATTATAAGAAACGCGTTACAACTACCAGTCAACTCCATGTCTTGCCTTCGTCCATTTAATGACAAAAAACGTAATTCTTATTATTATTTAAAATACCGAGCAATTAGTCATTTTCAGAAATGAACGAAGTAAAACAAACGTGATTTTTAACACAATGACGTCCCCACACCAAGCAAGATGGTGGCGTTTGATATGGGCACTCCGTTTTTGCAGGGTATTTTGTGAATGAATTGAATTGTGTTAAAAGTCTGTGTTAACGAGTTTTAAGCTGGGTGCAATGGCACTTATTACCGCCATTGATTCTTTTAGATAATTAACGCTTAGTAATGTCTCAGGTTGTATTTGTTGGTTTGCTCAACAGTCAACAGTCATGCGTGGCGCGACGACCATCGCCCTTTAAAGTTGTCCTAACGTGTATTTATAGGGTAAGCCAGTTTATTTACAGTGCTGACGAGATACTGGGATTTGTAACTTGTTTGTGATTTTTGGGAGATTCGGATTTTCCTAGTTCCTTTTTTCAAACCAAGTAAATTTTATAGACATTACATTGTTTTGTGAAGAACAATAATGCTGAGAATCATCTATCTATCTATCTATCCTTAATTCTTGGGTTGACAATGAAAATTCTCATTTGCTGTGTAATACATGCTATTCATATTTGAAACGTTCAGAACTGCCTCCCTGTGCTGTGGCTAACAACATGTCATTTCACACAGTACTGCCTGAAATCAACCCAAATTCTTTAAAGGAAATAATGTAATCCATTTGATGCCATGTCTGTGAATGAAAATGACCCAATATCTGCAGATGACGATGACCCAAATCATGTCAATCTTATTAAAATTGAGAATAGCAATGAAGTGATAATGAGGATGATAACTGGACAGAAGCAGTAAACTTTGAAGATCGTCCTGCAGGAAATTCATATACACTTCGAATACCGCAACATGACGAAGATGGTGATTTGCAAAGAGTATATTATCTTGCTCCAGGTGAAAGTGATAGATCTATGGGATTGTTCCAGGATAAACACTCTTAAGAACTTTTTTCCCAACATTTTATCGTGGCTAAGCAAGAGAAGAAAAGAGATTTAATATTTTGTATAGTACATTATGCAAGTGGGAACTGAGACATAAAGATAGATGTGTTGCTAAATCGGTGCCAACAATTGTATTCAAGCTACAAAAACTGCAAATCAACCAAATCAAGAATAAGGCTTCACTGTGTTTACAATAGTGAAATTTACAAAGGCATACTATGACAGCTTGAGAAATAAAAGCTGCAGAAAATTTATAAAACATGATGAAGCATGATGTATGATATTAAGTATAACAAATCTTGAGAGGATCACCACCTTATGCTGGATATGGTTTGATCAACGTCATACATGGCTATGTGGTCTCATTAAACATGCATTGCTATATTATCAAGAGCACTACTTCAGATACAATCTGATTAAAATCTGATGTAGTGTACGGGCTTTAATTATTTTGGCTATAAACTTATTTTAATTTTATTTTTTTTATTACTTTTGTTATTAAATGCCTTTCTATTTTATTATTATTTTACTTTGATTTTGATTTCGTGGTTTTTTTTTAATACCGCCCTACATGCATCTGATTCGATGCCTATGTATTACGAGATTTCAACAAGACCCACTTTCGACGATTTTAGTCAACGAATCACAGGCCTCCTTTTATAGTCAGGTGACAAACACACTCAAATAAAATGGCGGATTATACCGACGTCGTCACCGGAAGCGCTGTCCCAGCACAAACACTGCAGCGTCAATGATACCGACGTTATAATTAGCGACCAAGAATGACACGGCTTTTCGGTAAGTTTATCATTGTCATATGCAACGAAAGTCATTTTTATGTTAATATTGTTGCTCGAATGGTTCGAGTTTAGATCGTTATTTTGCCAAGTTATTCTGGGAGTGACGATTTTGTTTCCACCGGTTCGACCGAACACCGGTGTCTTTTTCCAGTGGCATGCCTTTGAGACGGGTGATGTTTTGTTGACGATCGGGCCAAAATCGTCTACGGTATTGAAGCCGTAGCTGTAAATATTCATCAAATTGTATCAACATTTTGTACATTATACAATAACTCTTTATTAAAGTAATTGAGCTGATTTGGACTGGAATAAAATATTTTTTCATTTGGCACACATCGCAATTGATCAGGAAATATTTTTTTGCGTCGATGCCGTGGGCCGGTGACCGTTATACAATTTAAAATCAGTTTGCATTGTTTACTATAGCTGTTTACAGTGTTCTAATCATTACGATTTACTTATTTTTTTGCTCCCATTCTAGATAATTATGCTCAGTGTTTGATGTAAAATTGAAGCGATGACTGAATAAACAGATTTGCGACTGATGCCTGCGTTAACATTTTTTCAGTTATACCATTATCTTGTTCTGTAGATGGTCTACTTTCTGTGACTAATGGTGAGACATGGTCAACAGATTTGCGACTGATGCCTGCGTTAACAGTTTTTCAGTTATACCATTATCTTGTTCTGTAGATGGTCTACTTTCTGTGACTAATGGTAAGACATGGTCAACAGATTTGCGACTGATGCCTGCGTTAACATTTTTTCAGTTATACCATTATCTTGTTGTGGTTTCCGCCAAGTACTCTGTTCACGATCTTTCCGACAATGTCACTGTCGGCTATATGCAACTTATGGGAGTTATAATTTTTCTTTCATTTACAGCAACCCATACAACATGTACATGTTCAACACACAGTTTTTTTTTTTTTTTAAATAATACAGTTCATGACACCTTGATGTAAATATTTACATAAATTTATTCCATATTTATTTGAAAAATAAATCTCAGTGTGCAATGAATTATCCTTTAAGTCTTGCATTTATACAAATTCATTTTTTTTTACATCTTATTTAAAATGAGAAAACAAGTACACATGTGTATTAGTCACAATTCCCTCTAGAGAATTAACCCTTTTAAGTTGTCAATGTTTCCAGTTTCGTGAGATGTGTAATAAAATGAAAATCAGTGAATTCCAAACTAGTGATGCCTACATGCTCTTTACATTTTTTTCCACTGTTCTGGTGCCAAAAGTGGAGGAAGGAAATTGATAAGGTAACTACAAACTGTGAAAATTTGATTAGAAACCTTTGCTAATGTTAAAGGTAAAACACCATCTAATATGTGAAAACATTTTATTCTGCCTATAGCTCTCTCAACATGGATACGGACAGAAGCAATGTCCATGGTGTCTTGTACTTCCTTGGCAGATAGCTGTGCCCGAGTTCCCTTGAATGGAGGAATGTTTAGATCAACATTCGTGGGCAGAATGCTTTTGATTTCAAAGCCTCTATCTGCCATAACATTGTCACCAGGGTCTAGCAAATTACACAAACCAGACTTGCGTGTAATTTCTTTATCTGAAATTCTCCCCCCATACAACTCTGAAATAAAAGTAACAGCACCATTTGGAGAGATCCCTACTAATGCCTTAAAAGTATTGTGGTGCTTATAGTTTGACCACGTCTGACTCTGTGCTAACAATGATGATGGAACCTCTACAAATAATTCAGTACAATCAATAATAACTCCGGTTGTGGGATATTGTCTGAACTCTGGAGGTAAATTCTCCCTGATCTGTGACTGTGTAGGAAATGGGAAAAGGAGCCGAAGTTCATGATATAAAAAGTTAACCCAAGTTGTAAATATTCTTGAAAATTTGCTCGGGCTAATAGCAAACCTATCTGACAAGTCTTCAACAAACAGTCCCACTTTGAGTTTTACAAGAACCATGAACTGATGACTGAATGAACGAACCTTGGCTGGCGAAGATGTATCTGGAAGTGTACACATTTGTTGGAAGTGAAAAAAATATTCAATGTAATGACAAAAATTGTAAAATTCTGTTGAATTTCTTTTGTAAATAAAAGTATACTAGCAATTTTCTATTAATGGTTTATTCAAGTGGGCAAAATATAATGTACAGAAAGATTGCCCGTATACACTGAAAAGTAAGCAACCGACAGCTTGTATAAAAGGGGGGCTGTGATTGGCTGTTACTTACGCGAGATTTGAACGGGTCTTACATAGGCGACGGATCAGATGTAGATAGGGCGGAATTAAAAAAAAACTCAAAATCAAAGTAAAATAATAAAATAAAAAGGCATTAATAACAAATATAATAAAACATAAAGTTAAAATGAGTTTATAGCCCAAATAATTAAAGCCCGTCAGACTTTAATCAGATTGCTTCAGATAGTACTTTATTCAAGAAATTGATCACATGTCAGTATTTTTAATAACCATATAATATGGACATGTGACCTCATTAAAGACCTCGTTAAAGATGCATAACAATCATATCTTACACCATTCTATATATAGATGTTCAATCAGTGCTCTACTTTATTTAGTATCGTTTGCCGTGATGTAGTGGCTACATGTGTCCATTGTCATAACTAAAGAAGCTCAAAACCCAAAAACTGTTTACCAACTCCCCACTCTTACTAACATTACTCTTAACTAGCGGTATTCATAATTATGGGAAACAGGAATTAGAAATTGGTGAAGTTCATTAAAGTAGACAAGCATGTTCTAGTGTGTACGATAACAATAATAAACTCTAAAATGTAATCCAAGTAATTTAATAATATCGAAATTGCAATGTCTATGTAATGTCTATATTAGGACAGTCTATTACACCTTTGTTTCCAGTTCTGCTGCTCATTACTTGTTAGCTACAACAATAAAGTCTGTATCCAAGCTCGATGTTTTGAAATGTGCTGAGATGTTCTTTTTGGGCATCCGGTGTTGATTAGGAATTATCTGTTATGTCTATTGGTTGTTCATTCTGACCTGGTAACATTTTCTGCTAGTTGAACATCTGACGACTTGTTATTGGTGGATGAATATGGTCGAACGATGATTACTCTCTATGCTTATTTGTTCATCATTCGCCTGTTGTGATTAATGGTTTGTCCACGGTTGGTTGTAACAACTTCTTTGTGTCGAGTATTTCGAGTCAACATCTGCTGGTGTCCAATCTTTGCTGTCAAGGCTGATTTTGATTCTGACTGACTCCTTATATTTGTCAGTAATTTGTACAAAGATCTTATTTTTCGTAAGCGTATAAAGCATTTTCCACATTAAATGTCATAATTCTTACGCAATTTTGATTCTTAAACACAAATTATATAAAATGTAATTAAGAATTTACTTTCATTTTATTTCTTGTAAAATGTTTTTTTTTATTATTTCCTGTAACTTGTACCAGCTATTCCCCTTGCCACCTGCCTCTAACATGGCTTAAGAAGTAACAATAACAACGAGATTGTATACGATAACAATAATAAACTCAAGATGGCGCTGCCCAATGTAAGTCCAAGCAACTCAATAATATTGGAATAGTAATGTCAATGTAATGTCTATATTAGGGCAGCATATCACACTAGATATTGTGCCAACATTGTAGAGGAAGAACTGAAAATGAGAGTATAAGACTAATGATCGTGTCGTATGTGGCGAGTTTTCATGGTACATGGTTGTGAATGGAGTTATGAATGAATGAATGGATGATGATTGTGAGATATTCCATTGAACATAAAGATCATCTCACTAAATGAAAGTGTATGTAGATGTAAATATGGAAAATCACTTGTCAACAAACATCGCAACACTAACTGAGAAAAGAAACGTGTAATAAAATGGAACTGAAAAATAACAACAAATCCTTACCTTGCTGAAAACTGCATTTGGCCTCAATGCAATGACACACCGATACATTATGGAATACGGAAAAGGGTCCAGAAGCGTATGCATTGCGTACAGAATGTGCTAATAACTTTAACGAGGTTAAGATGTAGACATATCTCATGAATATTATTTGAAATTGCAATTAATCACGTATATTCGGTCTGACCCTACTCTGTCGATTGAGTTATTTAAAGACTGTACACGCTTTCTAACATGCTAAACTGGTCTTTGCTTTTTACACCGTTCGCAGGCATGAGCGTTGACAAGCTTAAGTTGGTTCCGATTGTATACAGCGCAAACAGTGGCTGTTCCAGTCTTCATGGCGTCAATTTACATTAAAGTTGTATTGTCTCCAAAATATTATAGAAATGTATTGATGTGCTTATTTCAATGGCCTATGTTAAAATCTTCCCACCTAAGTTGAAAGCGTGAAAATTTCGCTTTATTTCTCGCTCCTTCTTCCGAAAATTTCCGACCGTATCCGGACATTTGTTTATGGTTCCACATTCAACAGCTTAGGGAGCTTCATTATACAGTTGCCCGGGACACGGATTTGTGTAGCAGACGATAAGATATGGCTTCCGTAAAACAGTTGGTAAGTTTCCGTTCTGTTAACATGTTTTCTCGACGAAATTGTAGTTTGATTTAACTGTTCATTATATTAATCGGCAGTACACTAAGCAGCATTGCATCATGGGATTTATAGTCTCGAGACTAAAAATGACTTAGGCTCTGAGCATCATTTTTCGCAAGAAAGAAAATGCGATTTTACGCGAACGCCGCGCTTGTTTTAATTGGTTGATGTAGCAAATTGACACATTTTCAAAGGCCTTCAAATTAAAATAAGAGACAATACAACTTTAAGTAGCTCAAAATTTAATAATATTCAACAGTTCAACAGGTGTAGTGTAGTGTAGTGGTCGTGGCTGGTTTAAATTATTAGTGCTGCAGTGACCGTTCGTTGGTAATGGAAATGCAGTATACACAGCTTGATGGTAATTGTAACGGTGGTGGTAACTTTGAAAAACTAGCTTGTATAGATGTGGTCCAATGTAAACCGGAAGTGTAAATTCCACTCCACACTATGCTCACACAACTCATTAGTTTCAATTACAGTTTCAGACATAATAATTAGTTTAATTACTTTCTTAATTGGGAATTGTATTTTCTGCTTTATCACATTTTGATGATATACTGCACTGTGAGATATAGTTACAATACAATACACATTCATAATATTAGGTTAATAATCAGCTGCAACATGTCAGGCGTCATTTGTATATTTAGTCCCAAGGAATAAAAGTACTAGTAGTCTATTAATAATTAGTACGTCCTCGTCTGCCTAAAACTTGAATACATACCTGTATGTTAATTATTCATGCCTAACACAATGACTTTACAAAGTCACGCCAGGTTGCCGGATCTTTCTTGTTATTATAGTAGTAGTATACTGTAACAGTATTATAAAGTTGGCCCATATATTATGCAGAGATCTCGTCACGGAAACGCTTGCGACCAGGACGCGTCCTGCCAGTCGTGGATTAGAATTTGCAAACAACGGACCTAGTAACACGATTTGGTAGCGGCTTATAAACAATACTAGTCAATTTTATAAAATTAGCATCTGTTTGTTTGTTAGTAAATATTTACTGACGATACACAAAGTCTTTAAATTAGTTGCGTTCACGCAAAGCTTCTTAGCACGGGCTAAGATATTATGCACGTGATCAAATATATGTAACTTTCTCATTTCCAAATGGCAACCGAGCTCAGAGGTAACAAAGACGCATAATTAGAAGAATAAAATGTTCAAATCTAAAAAACGAAAAGTTAATTAGTATACAAATCTGAAGTTTTAGAGGAATGTTGCTTTGTCCCATGTTCGTATAACGACTCAATAGACGACTTTCCCGGAAATAGCAAGATTTGGGGTGCAAAAATTCTCTTGCTTTGTCAGGCTGAAAAAAAACATATCAGTTTGCTGATAGTCGATAGAAGAGAATTTTTATTTCTGTGACTCAGAAGCACAATATCACGCGTGCAAATTTACGTTACACCCAAAACGACATGTGCGCATCTTCGATTTTCAGGAAAGTCGTCTTAGTCTAAATGCACTAAACGACTGAATGCGCCTCTCGTTGTTGCACATTCGATAATGTAGAACAACATATACATCGGCGTGTGCTCATGCAAAAAACGATGGTCGTCGCGCCACGCATGCGAGATACATGTATGATTCTCATAGAAACAAAGATGGCGATTTTGACTGTTGCTCAGACTAAAGAGTACAAACTGACGGCACCTAGCTTTAACATGGTAATTTCTTTGGTGATTGAAAGGTATCCAAGGAGTCATCGACAGTACTAAGTGCACGTCGCGCCCTGGTAAAATCTCGTACTTGTGATTTTCATCAGAGCATTGAATTGTGGGAAAATCAATGTTTATCAACACAAGTGTCGCACATGCACGGCGCGACGACCACCGCCATTTGAGATTCATTACAGTAAATATCAGCGACGAAGTTGTGGAAATAATAGCAAACATGGCAAAATGTCCGACACTACAAACAATGCCATTTATTCATATGTCTCCTAATAGTGCATGGTCAGTAATATTATAACGGAGCACGATATTAGGCAGCATTGTGGGTGGATTATAGACCCTATAATTCACATCGGAATCGAACGATAACACTGCCACAAAGTTCAATCGAAACTACATACTTCTGTTATCTTATGACACAGAGCTATACATAGAATATGATATCATTCGATAATTTCCAGGTACCTTATTACATAGGACATTGTTCATTTAGTTTACAGAAGAGAATGGCAGTTCTTGACTTCGGGTCAAATAGCTAGGTGAGTAACCATTTCAACATTATGTTCATTATATTTAAACATTACGGTCATACAGACTGAAGTCCTGGGAGTGGCTTTCATTCTAAAACTGGCTGACATAATTCTCAAAAAAGCACTCTGTTAATTTGAGGGATATGTTCACTTAATGCTGTCGTAAAAAGTGCAATCATATTAGTATAG